AAACAAGTTATCTCAAAACAGAGACTACGAGTGTCTTCATAAGGGATTAGTGTCCCTTATCAACTCCTTGAGCCCCTTTGATCCAGTTGCAAGTGAAGAAAAAGTTAACCTTAAATGTCTGTTCTTGAGTCATTTAAAAACTATCTAGCATAGTTAGTGGAAGGCCCTTTAAGCAGAGAGATGATGCATAAACTTTAATGATGGCAGAGGGTGAATAAGCAGAAAAACACTAAAGTCATAGGAGGAAATAGAAAAGTAGCAAGTGAATTTTGAATACTGCCACGAAAACCATGGGGAAGAACAAGAACATCACATGGACATGTCAAATTACAGGTATAATTTTATATTGCTACTCCTTGGGCGCTTCTACATGTGTCCCTATGGTGTGGCTGTTACTGCACCGTCATTTAGCACTTCCTTTTAGGAAGTGCTAAATGACAGTGCAGTAACAGCCGTTACTGTGCCATGCCAGCAGCACAAGGTTATTTTTAGCTGCTACATCGCCATAACAGTGCGCTATAGCGAGGGAGCACATTGCTATGGCAATGTAGCTGCGGCGTCACGGTTTTTGCCTGCCGACGCTATGTCACCATAGTGCATTGCTATGGCAACGTAGTGTCTTATGTAGATGCGCCCCTTGAATAGGTTTCAAACAAACCAAAGCATCCAAAGGCAATATGCCAGTTTACTGTTAGGGAGGAAGACATCCAGCTGGAAACAAATCTTTAGAGTTGCTTTTATGAACTTTTAACACTTCGGTTGAGTTTTGAAATGTCTATCTGACTGCTGGCAATATTCGATAGGTATGGAAATCTAAGATGTCTTTTCAAGAGTTTTAAAGTTCATTTTTAGCTAAGCATTTTGTGAAAAAAAAAAATACAGCAGCAGAAGAATAAACACAAAATAAAAGCATCTGTATGCAGGACAGCTGTCTTTCATATTTTCCTACTGAACAAGTCCAATACGGTGGCGTCTGTAATCTGCCTACCCTACTCCTTTCTCACATGTCATAAAAGGAAATGGAAGTGGGCAAATCTTCCGTGAGATTTGTGATATACACTCTTATGCTCCATCCCCTTCTTCCTACATCCACAGAGGCTACTCCATTTTAGATCTGTAGAGATGGTAGTGATACGTTCTAGGGCTGGGACTCAGCCTGTGACTAGTTGTGCTGCTTCTTCAGGCTACTGGATTTCCTAGGGGAAATCAGCTTGGAAATTAATCTTTCTCCAACCACTAAAGTTCCCATCTATAACTCTTAACCCCTCCCAAGATTAGGCAGGCAAGTCAATGGCAGAATAGCTACTCTATGGAGGCTGTGTTGCCATGAGACAGAAAAGGCCAGGGTGCCCACTGATAGACAGCCATTCCCCTTTGTGCACTGCTGGACTACCAAACTGCCCTACTCATTTCCTCTCTGCACTCTGAAATCTCCTTCCCTAGAGAGTAGGTGCAAAAAGAAAATATTTGCATAGTTTCAAGCATACTACAGTCTTTTTGTGGTTTTTTTCTTATGAGAGGGGGGATATGACCCAATTTATATGAGGCAGAAGTTTATGGGACACAACTAACTATATTTTAGAGTGTTAGCACTGTATTTCTCGCAGCACTTGTGGTAATGTGTAAGTAGTTATAATACCAATAGAGTTTAGGATGATATAACTTTGGTAAACCAAGGTGATGATGATTCAGTTTCACTAGTCTAACATTTTTTCTCAGCTGTCAAGCCTACAACTTCTGCCTTTGGATTGAATTTTGTAGACCTGCCTGTTTTGTATAATGGAAACTGAGCTGTGATTTAAAAAGTACTAATACAGCTACACATATTGATCCGTTCAGTTTAATTTTCTTGGGGGGGCATGGGCTGTGCTAGGGATGATGGATTTTCTTGGAGACCTGATAAACCTACTTAAACAAAACACCTCAAAGGCTTCTGGAGAAGAGCACTTATCAATACTGTTGCATGTTTCCTTTCATCAAAATAAAAAAACTCATTAATAGTCTTTGTAGCAGTTGATAGTGATAGATGCTTTCAACAGATGACCTTTTTATTTAAAATCAACATAGAGTTACACTCTGCTTTGACTATTAGCTGTCTGTTTTCAACAGAAAGATTCATTGGAAGAACTTAGATTATTTAGAGTTTTTAAATGGGGTTCATTATTGTGACCTCCCACCCACACCATAGCATTTACTGTTGTGTTGGTAAGAGTTGAAACTTTTGAAATTATCAGTTCAATTTTAGGAAATTGACCAATGCTGCCAAAATTCACGTATCCTCCAAATTTGGGGATATTCACATTCAAGATATTAACTCAATTCTTAGAAACGTCTGATATTTTCTAGAGTTTCACACAGCACGTAAAATCTTCTGTTGTAAACTTGGCATGAAGTTTCTGTTGAAGACTGAATAGTTTCCAACAGGTTTGAATAAAAATATGTTAATTTTAAATCTCAGTTAATAAAAAACCCTGAATTGCTTCAAACTGGCATTGCTTTCTTCATCTAAAAAAACCCACTTCATTTATAACCTACTTAGTGTGGGTGTGTTGTAGGTGTTAAACTCTTAATACAGAAAATTGGATGTATGCAAAGAAAATGTAATTGACTCTAAACCGCTTATTTAAAAAATGATAAGACAAAAAAACTCCATTAAGATTAGAGTTCCCAAAGTTTACTCCTGCACAGCTGTGTTTCTCATAGCAAATGTAAAGAAGTTTGGGGGGGGGGAGTGTTTTTTCCAGAAACCAATTTAACACCAACCATAATGCTTTTGTTTGGTCCTGGATTTATATATAGTGTTAATTCTGCTTATTAATGCACAAAAGCGTGTTGCAGGTCTCATTCTAATCCAGGAAATGTTCATAAAATAACTTTGCTTCTGAGCATACATACAAGTGGAGGTGACATGGTTGAAAGAATTGCAAATGACAGCTAGGTTGCACAAAATTCTAGCTAGAGCACCAAATCCTGTAACCTGCTCAAAGCTATATATTGCTTATGCTTGTAGTTTTATTATGAGTTTTGTAACATCTGGTTTACTTCTTGATGCCTCAGCTGCTGGAATCATTCCACTGGGTGGGAATTGCAGCTTTCAGGTAAAAAAGAAAGTTTGTAGATGCCACAGTTGCATCTTAAAATCATGACTCAAGTGCAAGGATCAGAAACCAGAAGTTAAAGAAAAAGAACCCAACATATAGCATTTTAAAAAGCACATGATTTTAAAGCAGTCCTAGGACCTTGGAGTACACCACTCAGACTTTCCTAATATCTTGCTCTATGTCATGTTCTTAAATTTTCACATATTATAAGATCCTTTTAATAAGACTCAGAATAAGAAACCCTCTATAGTAAACCCAGGCCTCTGTCGCTGCTACTGTGACCTTGCTGTTCCTCAGGCAAAGTATATGTTCTGCATAAGGAGAATGGTCAGTGGATCTAGATTGATTTCTTTCATGTATGCAAGGTTTACAGGTCCTGGCTTTCACTTTACAAGTACATACACATGCAGTGCCACGGCAAGGAAGTTTGGCACCCAGGGCAAAGCCTGAAGTGGCAGCTTGCCCACGCCCCATACACAGATCTGTGGGGGTACACTCCTCTCCCCCCCACTCCCCCCAGCTTGTCTGGGAGTGCATGCAGCAGCAAGAGCTTCCCTCCCCACGTCCCTGCACCCAACCCCCACAATGAGCCGTTCATGGCTCCATCCTGTGCCCCACTGTAGCTTGGCAGTGACTATTGGCGCCCCTTCACTTCCGCGCTGAGGGTGGTAGCCCGACCCTGCTGCCTTGCTATGACACTGTACACATGCTTTGTTCCTGTGATTATGGAATTCTGGTAGAAGTAGGTAGGACAATTTTTCCCAGTACCTCCCATTTCTATAGGTAGAAAAGTATGACTGGAAGTGACTTTACTGAGTCATGTAGTGCAACCTCTTGCTCCAGGTAGGATCATCCCTATATAAACCATGCTATATAAGTGTTTGTCTAACCTATTGTAGTCTACAAAAGGGATAGATAAACTATTTCACTGTGGGCATGTCTAATTTACTGTACAGTTAATTAGTCAACTGCACTTTAAACATCATAAAAGATGTTTAAAGTGCAGTTGACTCATTAACGGTACAGTAAACATCTTGCATCTAAATATACATAGCAATTAGGCTACAGTAAACTCATTTACTCCTCAGCAGGATAGTATTTGTAAATAATTCAGACAAGCTCCAGTTTATTCATGTGCACTAATTGCACATGTAGACATATCCTGTGACATTATTTCAGTGTATTAGGCACCAGCAGATTAAACTGGAATTTGGCAGATAATTTGTCTCCAGAAATTCTGTACAAATAATTTATAAACTTATGAGTCTTCTTCAGTTTCCTGAACAATGTTTAGCTGGAAGTTTATATTAAATTTTTTTTTTTTAATTTTGTTCAGATTTTGATTGAAGGTTATAAGTGGTTTTCCCCTAAATATTTTTAACTGGTTCCTTTAGCTTCACAATTTTGAAAATGCATATTTCATATCTGGGTTCAAGGCTTTTCCCCACTTAATCTTATACATCTTGCAAAGGTCTGTATTTGGATATAACACTTCGTGTTAACTGTCCAAGCCTGAAAACACTGAAAGATCTGAATTATATTACTTCTGGAAGAGAGGAGGACAGTGGCAGAGCAGAGAAGGCAATTTACTATGAATTTAGGGGTGTGGATCAGGGCTTACTCTGGACTCATACCAGAGTCTATCCTCTTCAGTCCAGGTGAGTCTGTATGGGTGAGTCAAAGGCATCCGAACATGATGGGGACATTTATAAGAGAGGTCTCAAGTACTAGACAGTCACCCTGTTAGCAGACTGTTGTTAAAGCTTTTATGTCTTATCAATGTTAGCCAATACTTTTGGTAACTGGAACTCTTTAATGCTGGATGTTCTTCAAGATTTTGTGTGCACCTACTGATGTTTTGAGCAGTGAGTGATTGTTGTGTCCTTATTGAACTCCTAGGTGCTGAAGTGCTGTATATGAACATGAGTGCATATAAGGAAGGTCGCCTTCAATCATCTTTCTGGATTGTTGATAAACAGCATGTGTACATTGGAAGTGCCAGTTTAGACTGGAGGGCATTGGGACAGGTAATTTTCCTGAAAAAATAGATATTACTCATAAATAATACAATCTGACCTACACCGAAGGAAAAATATGTAGCTTCCTGAAGACCATTGAGAAGTATACATCTTTGTTTTTCTGGTAATTCTAAAATGAGAATTAGATTGGTCTAATACTTATGGCTATTTTGTGTATGTAGAAAATGTTTACATTAAAGTTAGTTTCACTTCTTGAAATGGTAAGGTTTTCCTTTAACAATTATCTTAGGAACCAGTGGGCGCGTCTACATGTGACCCTATGGTACCATTATTACTGTGCCATGCCAGTGGTGCATGGTTATTTTTAGCCGCTATATCGCTGTAACAACATGCTATAGTGAGGGAGCACATCGCTACAGCGATGTAGCTGTAGCATCACAGTTTGTGCCTGCTGTCACTGTGTTGCCTTAGTGCATTGCTAGAGAGACAAAGCATGTCATGTAGATGTGCCCAGTAATAACAAAGCTGATCATTTTATAAAAGAAGAATTAACTAAAAGTAAATTAAATTACATGTGAAATCTTTCAGTTATTTCATTGACCCTCTAGTACTTGCTCAAGTAAAAACTTGATTACCATAATAAAGCTGACTACAGCTTTATTACAGTAATAAAGCTGAATCCAGATTTGGGTTTATTCACCTTTGACACCAAGTTGGATATCACCCAGTGGGATTCCTTTGTTGGAACTGATCCATCATAGAAGCTCCTATGTAACATTGCGAACATGATCTAATTTTATTTTTCTCTCCAGTCTTCAAACTAATTGAGTACAGTACAACTGACATTTGACAGAAGTTTCCAGGTAAGGGAGCCTAAACCTTAGGAGTTCAGGCCTCTATCTATTTCTGGGCAAGTTGCAGGCTTCATGCAACCCAGGGTCTGTATGTACAACGATGGCACATGTGCATAAGTTTGTTCATTCTTTCATAAATTAATAATGTAAACACTAAAATAAGTTCTTCTTCAGAGTCCATCAGCTTTATGGACTCACACTGAGAATAAGCTGCTGCTATTGTTATGAAGAACTTATGCATAATTTAGATAGCTTATTTGTCTTTCTGCAATTTTAAGTAGTAGACTATTTTTATAGTTCATATAGTTCAGCTATTAATTCATTTCAAGAGGTTTTTTTTGTCTTGTTTTGTTTTTTTGATGGGGGTGGGTTTGGCAATAGGTTAAGTCATCAAAAAAATAAAAGGAGTAGCAACATTTTCTCAAGTCACTGGCAGTTTTATATGCAAATTCCCATACTTCAAGATTAGCAATAACTCCAGTGTTGACTGTGTACCTTCTACTGATAGAATCATACAAGTGTAAAAGTACTTTTAGAAAGCTGACGTAAGTTCATTGTCAGCACAACTAATAGCAGCTTGTGCTTTTGGAGTTGGGTGATCTGAATTTTATCCCCAGTGCTACAGTACTTATTCAGATAACTTCTTTTGGGGGAAGACCCTAATGTACCATACAGTAGTAAAAATTAAATTGTAGGCAACCGTAGATATGCTAGAATAAAATAACCCAGTTTTTAGAAAAGGGAACCTTTGAAAATAGGTTACTAAGTATGGGCATAGTGTGTAAAAATATTTGTTGCTACGAGTGCCTAAGCAGGTCATGCTGAAACTTTCCAGGCATGTTTTGATCTAGCCAGTTGAATGTTTGAATAACAGTACTTCAGCCTCTTGAGTAAAGATGACAGTAAAGTAAATGTACTTTCCTGCTTTAAATACAAGTTTATAAATTGGCAGAAACTTAGACACAGATGTATGTCTGGGAGTAGGTCTACACTGATATTTTGGGTTGACCATGAGTTTGCTCATAACCAGCCTGCTCTGGGTGAATCACCCCTCCCTGTACATATAATTCCTTAGGGCCTGTCCATGTTGTAAATTGTGCAGTCTGGGAAAAACTCCTATAGACCCTTATGCACTTCGGGATTACTGGAGTGCAAGGTGGTTTGGCCCTGGTCTGAATATGTGCCTTATGCAGACAGGGGTCCTCCACAATAGGAAACCATCATTCTTCTCTTGATGATGAAAATGTATTTGGGTCATAATCTGGTCTCTGTCCTTTTGGATTTTGCCTATAGCATATTTTTAAAACGGAAATAATTCAATGCGGTAAACAAAAGATCAGCATCCTCCTGGAATCTTCTTTCGAGCTAAAGCAAATTATTAACTTTTTGACTAATACTGTAATGAGAGATCACCTTAGTTGCCTCCCAAACTGTAATTTTAAGCTACTATGAATGAACAAATGTAGCTTTTTATGTTATATTTGTGTACTTTTTATATTGTGTTACAAAGCAATAGAATATATTTTCAAATAATTCATATCCCATTTCACAGGTATATGAACCTCATATGTAGCAGTAAAGAGTACCATAAAGAGCAAAAGAATGCATAGGAAGAGAAATCCTTGTATACATTTAATAGAAAATAACCATGAAATGGCATACCCTAAAAGTTACAAAATATTCTTCTGTCATATATAAGGTAAAGAATAGAAGTTCATAGTTTGGTTATTATCTTGTAAATCAGACATATTAAAGTCCTGGGACCATGCCAAATATGGCTTTGGAACAGCATATAATCATAGAAAGAGAAGAAAAGAATATCTATCACCAAGTATTGGTAAAGGTATTATAGTGACTTTCATCACATGTGGAAGGAATCAGAACGTCCATCAGTTTTTTTACTACAACTTATCTCTATTTGCTGTTTCAACAGCAGTAAAATGTCTTCTCCTGACCTATCTCTTACTGTAAGTGACTGTTACTAAATAGAGCAACAAAATTACTCAGAAGAGAATCAAATGAAAAGTTAAGACTGGAAATGTAACTTTTATTTTTTAAATGAATGCCTGAGGACTGCAGTCCACATGTATATGCAGTCAGATTAACATCCATTGAGCTAAAATGTGTTGATCTAGGTTTATGCCTGATAAAAGCCTGAACCAATTTGCAGGAGGGTAAACCAGAGAATAATCCAGTTCGTAAACCTATTTATACCATCTCAAGTGTTATTTGAAAGCACAACACAATGTATATTGACTGAATTTCAGTTCCATTATGTTTTTCAGTGTGTGTGTCTGAACATGCGTGGGATCCAATATACAAAAAGCTCAGATCAAATACAGCAGAAACCATTAATTTACATCAAGAATCACCATCACCCATAATGTTACTGATCCATGTTCAACCTTTCGTTTGAGTAAGATGGCAATTGCAATATTTGATGGGCAGTCTGCACTGCCTGATGCTAGAGGAGCAGAGATCTTTTACCTGATGCTTTGATCTGTTGGAAGGAGTCTGTTGGAATTGTGGCTTCAGGGGCCTTAGCTTGACCAGCACAGCCACTCATCCTAGCTTGCCACCCCACAGCTGACCACCAAGACTGTGCAAGGCTGGCCTGAGGCCTCCAGAAGGCATAGCCCTCTGCCCATTCCCTGTCAACAGAGTGGCTTGTTGGGATCAATTGACCCTCTACTTTCCCTATATAAGGTCCTGAACAGGAACAGGAAGTGTTTGGGCAACAGGGCTCAACCGAATCTCAGACCTTTTCACCGTTCCCTCCAGCTTGTGCTGTGATGCTTGATTACCTCTACCTGATGGTCTGGCTTGTTGACCTAGCTTGCTGTCCAACTCTGCTGAATAATGCACTAAAAAGATTCAGCCATGTAGAAGGCATGAAAGCCTACGATGGCTAGAAAATGGTTTTTAGAGGTTTGCATTTGGGAGTTGCCTTGTAGGTAAAATAGATATTGTATTAGAACAATGGTCCAGGGGGATGGCAAGGGTTAATTGATTTCTAAAAGCCTGTTTGTGACAAAGTTTCCTTCAAGGCCCATTGTGTCTGAAGGCAGCAAACACACAGGCTGGGAAATTGAAGACATGTACTACACTGTTCCATAACATGAACAGTGTACTGAAACAAAGATAAGGGACCCTGCAACATCGGTACCAGGTCACAGTGTCCAACTGCAGAGCCCTTAAGATTTCTGGCTTTGGTGGACAGAGACCGATAAATGTCCAAATTAATATCCAGGACATGGATACCTGGAGGTCAAAAAACCCATGGAAAAAAGAACCTGAGCAGCTCACACATGGGGAACACACCTCTACAGCATGGAGAACACCTGACTGTGTGGTATGTGGCACTGCAGATGTGTTTGCAGTGCCTCATACTTCATGGCCATATTCATCTGGACATACCCATAGGGCACATTCACATATGCAGGCATGTGCACTTGCAGGAGCTCAAGTAGCAGCAAGTAGCAGAGCACTGTAGCAGAGGCATCTGCACCTCTGGGCTAGATACCATGGGCCATGGCTACACAGTTGGCTTTTGAGCAACACTGCTGTCATGTCTTGTGGTGCCTCCTGCTCTGCCAACTGGACAGCTATCGACCAGAAGATGTGCTTGTTGCAGTGGCCCGCTTTGAAGCATCAAAGTGTGTCCTCCTGGCTCCAAATGCCTAGGAGGTCAGCCACCTCATCTGCCCTCCAGACACCTCATCTGCCTGAGACCCAGGAGCTACATGTGGTGCACAGAGCTGGCCTGCCCCCACTGCTGTGTGCCTTTGGGCAGGACCGGGCTCGCTCCTGCCACCCCTGGGGCTCCTGACACTGCACACAGGAGCCACACACCATTGGGCTGGGTCATCTCCTGCCTCTACATGCAGGTTGAGATAGGACCTGACCTAGCACAATGGGACGCAGTTCCTGCTTACAGTGTTGGGAGCCCTGGGTGGCAGCAGGAGCTAGCCCAGTCCTGTGCAAAGGTATGTGCCAGCAGGCCAGGCCAGCTCCATGCAACACATATAACCGCAGGCTCTCAGGCAGCACTGCACACTGCCGTGGGACTCTGCCTATAGTGGGCCATGAGCGACATGAGGGCCCACTGCTGGCTCCTGCAGTGATAGAAGTTATAATTTATAGATGTTCCATAACAGGATACTGAGGAAGTTAGGAATTAGGAGATAGTTCCTC